AGCTTTTATTTGGGAAGATGTCCAGTTGCCTTTTTTTCCCCTCTCACCTTCCAGAGCCATATTCTCAGTCTAAATTAGGTGAGATATTCTTGTTTCTTTTTTGCATGCTTTGTTCATATACCTAACACAATATCTTCATTGCCAAACTTTTGTAAACAGGATTAAGTTTTGGTATTCAGATTACTACTATTCACAATGTGAATTTTATATCTTGGCTAACAACAAATTTCTTCAATGATCCAGTCATTGACAGGGCACTATCTACACAATTTGACAAATATTTTTTCTATGAGCTGGTAAATGGCAAGTACAGTACTGTACTGTATTCATTTAACATAATCCATCTATAAATAACAAAAAGGCACAATACCGTGACTGAAACGATACACAAATAACCCGCACATGAAAGAGAGAAGCTTACGACGACGTTTCGGTCCGACTTGGACCATTGACAAAGTCACACTAACAGAGGTGGAGCAGGACGCCTATATATAGCCGTCCTGCTCCACCTCTGTTAGTGTGACTTTGTCAATGGTCCAAGTCGGACCGAAACGTCGTCGTAAGCTTCTCTTTCATGTGCGGGTTATTTGTGTATAATCCATCTATCTTCACAACCACGGTTTCTGAGTACCTGTATGCATGTCAGTTTTTTAACATTTAGTACTTGCCATTATTTCAATGTCACATCTAAACTCATGAATACAGACTACCTACCAATCTCGATACCACCATTTGCTGGGTAAATAATTATTTCAACATTGTAATTTTTCATCCCTTTAACTGAATTCTGCTATTTCACAATACAGATGGCCTTTTGGCCCGCAAAACAAAATAGTCAGGCAAAGTTTTGTATCTCAATGGTCATTTGAAATAGTCTTGAGATTTATCAGAAAGGTGCCCATGCTTTTTACATGTCTCATTGTTTACTGCAAATCATTCTTATTCGACAATTTTTTCCACCTGTACACTACATTTTGGGTTAGGAAGAAGGGCATTACCATACCATCTCGTAAATTTTAGTAGCCTGCAAATCTTCAATTTATTTATCCCCTTTTATTTTAGAACCTTAATACCTGACATACCTATGGCCAGTTTTGAATGCTATTACTCTCGCAGCCTGGTCTAAGGCCAGGCTTTCTCGCTAACTGCCTGTTCAACCAGGCTGATAGTGGTTTCTGGTATGCAGGCCCACACAGCCATCACAACCTGGCTGACATGACACTTGTATGAGATAATTATCCAATTTCCTCTTAAAAACATTTACCCTCATTCTGATGTGCAGTACGAAGTTAAAACTCGTACATTATTTTATACAGTATACATTATCAATCCACATATAGGATGATACACAGAATTTTGGTATTACATCAATTAAGGAGATTGTAGTAAAGCCAGAAATTAAATTAAAGCATCTGTATTTGCCTGTCATACTTGTGATGACAGGTAAATATAAAAGATTTTTATTTTGCCTGATGGCCGCAACATCTAATAGTCTGGATGGGGAGAAAAAACCTGCAGACAATCAATCTTTTCAGTACCAAAAGTAACCAGATACTGCCAGATGTGACATAGATAATATTGTCTCCACAGACTCCTCAATGCACCGCTCACATTTTTCCCCCTGTTCAATTCTATGATTAACAGTTAAATGATTAATCGATAGAAAAAGGAAAATACAGGAATGAAAATTCTTTAAAAGAATGGGAATAATGTGGGCTTGATCTCCTGGTACATCAACATTCAAGAACAGATCATACATTTTCTAATCTTTTACTTTGAGACTTAAAAGGCAGATTTTAACACACACTAAATATTCTGAATTCAAATGCCAATATTTAATTTGCTATTTTATAACAGTCTTTATGTATACCAATCATGAAAACAGTATGATTGCATAGTATTAGTGATACACTGTACAGCAGATGCAGTCTTTAAGTCCTTATGAGAGGGGCTAAGCACCAATGGGTTCAGCAACCTAAGGAGTATTTTACAATAAATATAAATTTGATGTATTTTGTCTTTAAATAAAATATACAGTGGACCCCCGGTTAACGATATTTTTTCACTCCAGAAGTATGTTCAGGTGCCAGTACTGACCGAATTTGTTCCCATAAGAAATACTGTGAAGTAGATTAGTCCATTTCAGACCCCCAAACATACACGTACAAACGCACTTACATAAATACACTTACATAATTGGTCGCATTCGGAGGTAATCGTTATGCGGGGGTCCACTGTATATACATAATATAGGGGGTGGTAGGAGAAAATTTTCAAACAGCTTCAGGGAGAATCTTGAGTTTTCCCTGAAGCAAGTTTATTCTTTTCTCTGAGGATGAGGGTCCCCATTACAGTTCTAGAGGTGGTACCTCCCTATAATTTGATGGTATACTTTTGAATTAAGAGTTTTTTGTACTCCCAATGCCTGGTCTTGGGCTAGGCTTGTCTGATGTTTGCCTGGTCAACAAGGTTGTTGCTGTTGGCAGACACGGGTCTGCATATCCATCGCAGTCTGGGTGATCTGGCACATGGTGGAGACACTCGTCTAGTTTCTTCTTGAAGACTTCTGCACTTGTCCCAGCAGTGTTTCTGATATCTTTTGGTAGGATGTTAAAAGTATGGGGCCACAGATGTTGATACACTGTCACTGTGCCCATGGCACCCTGGCTCTCCACTGGGTTTATTTTACACTTTCTCCTATATTTTTCACTCCAGTATGTTATGGGACTAGGCCCTCAAGTGCTTTCCACTTAAATATTATCGCAGGTGCTTGTGGCTTGGTTGATAGCTTCCTTGTCTCACACACTGAGGGTCCGGGATCAATCCTCAGCACAGGTGAAATGCTGGACATGTTTCCCCGCACCTGCCCCTGTTCACCTAGCAGTAAGTAGGTACCTAGGTGTTAGCAGACTGTTGTGGGTCACTTCCTAGGAGACAAGACTAACCTAAGATGCCTGACAGGGTCTATATAGTATATCAATGATGTCAGCTAGGTCTGTATCAGTTGTATCATGTACTTGTAGAAAATTATCATCTCTCATCCACTCCAGTGAGCACACATTTAAGACTGAGGTATTCCCATTAATTTAAATGCTTTATTGGCTCTATGCAGACTGTAAATGATCTCTGCATCTTTCCTGTTCTGAATGGGGACATCAATACTGCAGAATATTTTAAACAAGAGAGCACAAGTGATTGGGAAAGTGTTGCCCTTGGCACTATTTCCCTTGTTTTCAAAGTTCTCATTATCCACCCTGTCATATTCCTGACTGTCATGACATTTGCATTATTGTGTTGGTATTCACAGGCCCTTCTAGTTATGTATTTTTACCTCGCCTAAGGTATTTGTGCCTGGGAATCTACTAAAGCAAATTACCTAAAGCCAATAATAACCCAACAAAAAGCTGATGTATAAATGATCACTCGAGCACGTGCTAAAAACGTGCACCCTCACTTTTTAATTAATTAAAAGGTTTAAACTTGCTCAACATACAAAACGTATGTTATTACTGTGCATGCTAAGTATACAGGACATTAAATACTAATATAAACCTCTGAAACTTCCTGGAGCACTGCAACAGAGCTTATACATACAAGATACAAATACTTCTTTGATATCTCTCGTGAATGATTCGGCACAAGTTAAAAACTCGTGTATAATCCGCCCCAAAATTCGATACTCTTAAAATGTACCTCCTTGCCTTAATGCAATTCATGTAAAATACTATGCCAAACAACTCTTGAAATTTGCTTGATTTCATCCATTACTCATCCTCCTGTACCTCCTTGTTTCTGCACTTTTTCTACTTCCATATATTTATCGTATGTTGCATTCCCTTCAAAAGTGAATGCATAGTATTATCTTTGTCCTTCAGTAAACCATTGTTACATTGTCATATATTCTAACTTCTTAAATATGTGCCTGAGAACTTTTTATCAAATTGTTTTGTACTGTAGCTTCAGATTAGTTTGTTCCTGATAATACTAATGCAGATTTTAAGAAAATGCTGTGCATCCTATGGGCCTTCAGATTATTTTACATTTTTTATGTACAGATGTACAGTAATTCTGAAATAACGGCTTGAACTTGCTCCAGATGTTGAAAATACTGCCAGAACAAGTGTAATATATTTCAAGAGGAAACTGTATCACTATCTTTGTCAAGTGCCAAATCAACCAAGCTGTGATGGTTGTGGGGGGTCAGCAGGCTACTGGCAGCAGCAGCCTGGTTGAACAGGCAATCAATGGAAAACACTGGCTTCAGGCAGAACTGCTAGGGTAGAAAAATTCTCGAAACTAGTTACTGTTTAGAGTGAGCAGAATAAACTGTCATTAACAACTGGCTACTTTACAACTTGCACTGATGCATGTCCTTTTAACTGGGCAACTCCCACTATGTTCATGAGAAAGACTGGCCAAATAGTAAAGTGACAAAGGCTGGGAAACTATAATCAGTATGACTGCCACTACTTACACAATGTGACACTTTAACAAAATTCACTAAGTGTTTGATGGGTCACGCCTCCAAACAATAACACAAACTGTACATCCACCCACATTCCTGATCATTGCTGACACAACACTAGTATAATTTAGCTTAACACGGAAGCTATATATCAAGATTAGTCCCAATTAATCTGTCCTTAGATTCTGACCTAGCACAAACATGATATATACAGTTAATGTGGAAATGTTTCGTTCCTCCTCGTAGTGGTTAACACTCCAGTTAGCTCCTCGCATCAATATCACCCACACAAACAACTGATAGCCACGTTACCTGCCCTAAATGTGTAATTCTATCAATAATAAGTATCGCTGTCAGTAAAAGTGGCTGGTTTAGAAACGTCAGTTTGGTCTTGCCAGGATCGCTGGCCTGGCTCTCAACGCGACGTTTGGGCAGACCTGGGTGAGAGTTCCTGAGAAAGTCAACTTTTTCTCGCTATCTCAAGCCACTGACATCACACACAGTATATGACGCGACTCTCTAGACACTAACTTACCTCACTTCCAAGACACATTAGAGAACTCCTTCTGGTTCTTGCGAAAAAAGGGAAATATTGAAGAGTCAGCAACGGAGAGCGTCCTACTATAACAATCTGTTTGTTTATTGTTTATGGTCGCACGAACGAACAAACTTGCTTCTTTTAATTTGTGTTTTTGTCCATTTATACTGCTAATTCAACAATAAAACCTACTCGCACCTATACATAAAATTAGTACGAACACGATGGAAAGTATAATTTCGCCAACACCTTGTAACTGTAAACTGTAATCAGTAAAATAGCCTTCCCGAGAAGTCCGACATTTTGTTGGCTCGTCTGTTTTAAGTAACAGTGTTCCGTTATATTGATTCACTCGCTTAACTTTGTTATTGTTAACATAATCTTTTGTTTCATACAAGTTTATGTCTCCTATTCTAAATATAATAAAAATAGCAAAGGCTAGTATTTTCACTCGAAATGCAATGTAAAGATATGGCAATGAGAAAAACAGACGGAGCTCTCTTGCTTGTGGAGTGTTGGGACGTCGTCTGCATATTAGGAACTTTTCATTTAATTTTCAATGCATTATGCCAGCATCAGATTCCACATGAAGTATTTTAGAATCACCACAGTTGTGCTTTCGTAAAAGCTGACCATTGTAAAACACCTCGCATTAAAGAAGAATAAATGTGAGGAAGTATTGGAAAAGTGAGCGATGTGCAACAGGGATCGACCGCCCGACTTCGGGTCTAGACCATCGCGCGCACCACTGATACCAATCAATTTTAACAGCTTTCTTTACCCAATATTTTTAACACTTCAGAGTACACCATTTCAATATTCTGTTAAATGTGAGCGTAATTTATTTTTAAAATAATGACTGCTGCTAATTTTATCTGACCTCCTCTAATTGGTTTATTTACTTCCAAAACACCCGTGTGGGCAATTGGTATGTTCAGTATATATATTTTTTAAGCATATACACGCGCACCCATAGATACGTAGATGGCTTTATATTTATTTAGGTTTATATTGTCCATGTAAATGTTTTTATAGATGAAGTGCCAATCGTTGGATCTTAAATAATAAGAATTATAGGCAAGTAAGTTAACCCAGAGTAATTTTACACAAGCACACTTAAAATCTAGGACGCAATAGTTTGTCAACACAGATATACCAGGCTTGGTTGTACTATTACTAGTAGTAATAGTAGTAACAGTAGTACTGGACCTACTACCTCTTGTTGGTATTAGATATCTGGGAGTTCATTATTTGGGTCGCACGCGGCACTTGGTCACCCATGTGGGTTTGATGCTTAAACTTGTTATATAATTATTATGGGTCTCATGGAAAGAAATAAGCCACATTGATTTGGCTTTATTGGGTTATCCTGGGTTACTAGCCCTCCAGGGTTAGTCCGAATAGTGTTTTCTGGTGGTAATTATATTTATGAATATTACTGTTTTATTATCATCACACTCATCATAATAGCAACTGTTATAATCATCATAATCATTTCACTATCATTATCATCATCGCTGGACATAAGAGCCATAAAATGCCGACAAGTTGCAAAAATAAGACACATAATAGTGCTTAATAAGACACATAAGCAAAAAAAAAAAAAACTTTTTTATAGAAACGTTTTGGTCATGGGGCTGGACAAGGTCCAAGGACCGAAACGTTCCTTAATAAGATGTTCTAAATGTTTGCTCATGTCACTTTAACTACAACTTGTTAGTATTATATATCAGGTTTTCGCCACATAAAAGGTAGAATGAACACTTTACTGAGACAACGTTTCGCTTGGTGACCAAGTATTTCTTCGAGTCATGGAAAACGTGGGAATATGTAGACGGAGTGAGGGTCATAGGGAAGGTGGGGGTGACCTAAGTAAATGAACATCTGCATAATACGTCAAGTCAAGGAGTTTGTCAAGCAAGAGAGATTTGCGGCAGGGGCGTCGTTAGGGGGGGGGGCAGGGTGACACCATTTAGGGGGTGACACCATTTAGGGGGTGACACCATAGAACCTCTAAAGAAGGTGACACTAATGCCCAAAACAGTTCTGCACCAACATAAGAGAAGAATCCTTCGTTTCTATATAGCCTATTATATATTAACAAAGTAAAAATAAGCCTATATAGGGAAAATCATTGATTTTGATGATGTGATAGATGATTTTTGCATAATTGAAGGCAAGGAAATGTAAGATCAGACTCACTGAGATGTTACCTGTACTCAAGGTCAAATGTAAGATCAGATTCACTGAGATGTTACCTGTACTCAAGGTCAAATGTAAGATCAGATTCACTGAGATGTTACCTGTACTCAAGGTCAAATATAAGATCAGATTCACTGAGATGTTACCTGTACTCAAGGTCAAATGTAAGATCAGATTCACTGAGATGTTACCTGTACTCAAGGTCAAATATAAGATCAGATTCACTGAGATGTTACCTGTACTCAAGGTCAAATCTGAACTAGTGTTTCTCTGATATTGCAATGTTTTTCTTTATTTTTCATTTTTTTTTTTTTTTTGGCATTGTTGAAGATGAATTAAATGTAGGATCTGTTGGCTGTACTCAAAGTGGTATTTGGGTTTATTTCCTCAATATTACTACGATTATTTATTTTATCATTAATAAAGTTAAGAAGTATTCTCCTGTTCAGTTCATGGCCCTTAAACATTCTCATTGCTAAACATTTGTCACTGGTCATGCAGTAGTGACATAACTGGAGTTTACCCCCCGCCCTTGAATTTCATGGGGGTGACACCAGAGATTCTGCCCCGGGTGACACCAACTCTAGCTAGCGACGCCTCTGATTTGAGGAAGCTGAAAATTCCTTCATTCCTGGAACTATATGTTGGTGTCCTTGGTGAAGATTAAAGCTGATAGTAATGATCTCTTATCTATGTCTCTCCTGTGACTGTTGGGTTACAGAGCTGTGAGTTTCCGGTCAGTCCTTAGAATAGTAAAAAATATTGCTCTTGTCCTGGAATCTGTTCACTAATTACTTGGTTAAGGACGGCAGACACAAAAAACAGTAGGTGGGAACTTCATTCAGCGTTTCACCCTTACAACAGGCATTTTCAGGTTAGCTGAATGTATATAAATGATTTAGAAAATCGACAAGTTGACACATGAGACATTTATGCAACGTTTGGGTATGTTTATTCTGGAAACGTTTCGCCAGTCGGTGGTTTCTTCAGTCCAATGCAGAGGACGGTATGAGATGAGTGTGAGGTAATCAGTCCCTCAGCCTGGATTCAATGTGTTTAGTCCATCACAAGTATCATATATCAGCAGGGGAAAGGAGATTATATAGGCAGGTCAGCTGTACTGGTAACAGTACAACCTGATGGTTACTCTCTACGGTAGGCTTTGTTCAATATACATTAGATCAATTTACGTAATTCCGTCAAGCTGATAAATAAGACACACGTGCAACCCGTGGGTGTCTTTATTGGTTGAATGATCCTTGTGGGTTTAGCGCTTAGTTCTGATTGTAATAATAATTTATTGGATAGATGTTTACTTTGGCTCTAGTGTAAGTTTCCGTTTTCATATTTCTGTTTTGGATTAACAAAAAACAAAAAGAGAGAGCCTGCTACGTAGGTGAAACGTCTCTCCAGGTGTAGAACTTGACTTATTGTCATATATGTACCCCTCAAGGGAGGCTCCTTGATGCTGGTGAGAGGATCTTGATCTAGGGAATTTGGATGTACTCGCCTAATGTGTGCTCCGGTTTCCTGAATTGAGCCTGAATACATTCCATCCCCCCCCCCCATGCGCTGTATAATCCTACGGGTTTAGCGCTCCCCCATAATTTTAATTATAATAATGCCACATATGTACAGTTACGAAATTTAAAGAAACGTTTCGCCAAGTTTCCTTTAATAATTGTCTTAAGTATAAGACTCTTCGTGTACATCTTTGGGTGTCACCATACACTGTACAGCTGTTTACAGTGATTGTTCCAGGAATCGTTGTCCCCGAGGCCCGGTTCAGACCAGACCTTCTGGTTGACGGCTTGCTCAATCAGGCTGTTGGTGCTAGCGGCACGCAGTCCAATGTGCTCATATCTTGGCTGAACTTACTCTACAAATACAAACAGTGCTGTATAAACCTTTCGGGTTTAGCGCTTAACTTTATTATATTAATCTAGAAAGACAAAAAAAATAAGGGAGGACTGAAGAGAGAAAATCGAAAATAGGAGTAAAATGAATATATAAAGTGATGAAAAAATTTTATGAAGATAAAACTCGCAGAAATGGAATAAAGTTAGATTAATGTGGATTTAGAAAGGTTGTAGAAAACCATTGGTTTGTAAATACAGTTGTAGGTGAGTGAAATAAACTACCGAGTAGCGTCATTAGAGCAAATTCATCGGGCAGTTTTAAAAATAGGTTAGATAAATACATGGATGGGAACGATTGGGTTCGTACCTAGCATCCCCTCAAGGGAGGTTCCTTGACGCTGGTGAGGGGCTCTTGATCTGGGGAATTGGATCTGTGCTCCAGTTCCCTGAATTAAGCTTAAATACTTTCCACGTCCCCCCACGGGAGCTGTATAATCCTACGGGTTTAGCAATTCCCCCTTGATTATAATAATAATACAGATTACAGTGCTCTATTCTTGTGCACTACATAATCAGTCGTTTTTTAATAAATTTATAAACATATTTATTGTCCCTGTATTTTTATTAGTGGCCTTTGCCCCTTCATCCGTGCCTTCTGCTCTTGTAAGGATTAATTTAATTGTGCAGGTTTGGAACCAGTCCTTCCAGTATTTTTTACATTCACCATCACTCCCTAGCTGTCTTTCCAGAAGGGCACAGACATCACGATCTAATGTAAACCCACTGAACCACATCAGTATGCGACTTGACTTTTTTTTTCTAAGTTCAAGTTCGACTAATCAGTTCCCTGAATCCTATAGCATGTTAGATACCAAACACTACTCGCCACTGAGTCGAATCTACCTCTTGTAAATCATTCCATTGTTCTACCACTATATGAAGATCTTTGTAGTATCCCTTTGGCACTTCGTTTTTTTAGCTGAATGCTATGGCCGCTTGTTCTTCCTGTTGAATGTGCTTGGAAATCTTATTAATTATTTCGTGGCTTATGATAACCTTATGTCTCCTTTTTTCCTCCTATCAGCCAGTAAGGGAATGTCTAATGCTTTCAGCAGGTTTAGCGCTTCGTTTCTTTTATAATAATAATAATAATAATAATAATGCTTTAAGCTTTTCTTTTTAACTTATCCTATGGTCCTGGTACCAATTTTGTAGCTTTTTAACTTTTTTTTATCCTATCCAGTGTTTTTTTTTTTTAAGGACATTCAGCACCGTACCATCACCACTGAATATTCCAGTTATAGTCGAACATATATTGTAAACAGTGTCTTCAGTATTTCCTCAATCT